ATTGTCTCTGCTTGATTTGCAAACGCCGTCAACAGAGAGATTCATTCTTGCCAAATTCAGCGGCTTAACCAACCGTGAGAGTGACTCGAGCTAGGTTAAATTGACCGACAACGACAACCGGAGATCGATAGATTTAGGCTGGTCCCATCAAAGTTGTTTTCCGTATCTGTATAGAGGATGGGTGGGGTAGCGGAGTGGAGTAGAGTGGAGAAGTGAAATTTCACTTCTGCGTTTGATGTGCCTGTTGACAGTACGGAACTTCAGTTATTCTGAGCAGAACATTCATATGTCATCTCACTTGGTTCAATTGCGCTTCTGCGGTTAGATGAAATCTATAAATGTCGAGCTAAAAATATTCACCGAAATACACCAAACTTGGTTTGAACCAAACACGTTATCCATGTAATTGTGCACTATTTCTAACTAGAAGTTCATCAAACTGCCGATGTTTATTAATTGTTGGCTACAATCATGTTTTCTTTATCTACGCATGTTTATATTTCTCAGGATTAGAAATTCAACAGCAAATGGATGGGACATAAAAATACAGTTCTATTTGTAACGCACGTTTGAACTAAGGTTCATGGGATTTCATGGGTTGGCTGATCGATAAATTGATTGATTGATCATCTGGGTGATTTGCTAGCTGTCTAATAGTTCCCTCAAATGAATAAACGTATGTACCAGTTTCTAATTGATGCCCATTTGAACTTATTTGGATTTTACAGTTCAAGCATGCAGAAACCAAAACTAGTTCTTAAGCAGAAATATTTCTAACTTGTATCTGACCTCCGGGAGTATTTAATTACCTGTTTGCTCCACCATTTTCCTACATTTCAGTTGGAAAAACTGCAAAGAGATAATCGGGAGTTAGAAGTGCGACGAGTGGATCAAGAGAACAAGGCTACGACATTCGAGCACAGGTACTTGAAAGCACAGCGTGAAGTCACATTGGCCCAGGAAACGGTTGACAAACTGCAAACAGATTTGACCATCAAAATGACTCAGCTGAAACGGGTAGGTTGTGGAATGTGAATTCTCGGAGAGATGTCAAGGTATTTGTGAAACTGACTTTGTTTTTACTGACTGATAGAAAAATAATTTGTGTAGGTCTAAATTCTGAAACGATCCGCGGTACGTATGGGATTTGAACTCACGCATGAAAAACATTTATATTCGTGTTTTCAATGATGGGTTGGGCAATCGTGACGCAACTGACAGCCCTGAGCTTTTCATATTTGATCACCCATAACGGGGAATGCGAAGACAGCGTGAAAACGTTGTACCACCACTTTAGTGGTACGATTCAACAAATAAAATACCACCCCTTCATTATCGGTGAGAGTTATTGAACCGCTTCCGAAAAGTTGATCAGCTTCCAGTTGCATGGGTAAGTAAGTATAACCTGTCTTGAAAAGGTTCTATTAGACAGGCCACTCGTCTTTTACTGAACTGTAATACCAACATTGAAGAAACACCTAGACTACCTACCTCCTTTTTTTGTGGCACATATATTTGCAAGTGAACTCATGCAATGAAAGTACAGCGATTTTGGCATCTGGCGGGGCCTTTGTATTTCGGCCGTGCTTTTCGAAATTGGACAACTATTTACGTTTTTTTGCAGTGGATACTATTGACCGTACACGTTCACATCAGTTGCATAAAGCTTTTCTTGACTTGACTTGACTAAATGGAGTACCATAGACCTATCGAGCAGATTTCATTGGATCCTAATACCATTAAATAACATCTACGAACAGATGGTGATCCCTCATCTGGGGAATAGAAGACTATCTTCAAAAGCAGACTTCATTTTTGGGAACTGGTGTCTGCGAATAATAAGATACAGTCTTCAATAAATAGCCCCATTTCCATTCGAGCTGGAAAAGAGATTGTTGTTTCAAGCATTCACGAAGAAATATCCTGAGAATCTGCGTCGTTGGATCTTAAAAAGTGTTTCAAAATTTGTGGTTCAATTTAACTCACATCGTGCCTGAGTCTGTATCTGAATTGAGATTGGTAGAGTTCAAAATCCACCTACACTTTCCGTACCGGTTCCCTGAGTTCCCCAAGAGTATTCACGAAGGCACTTCCAATATGATTTTAAGCTTCAGCCGGGAAAAATCGCCAGTTAAAGTGTTCCGATTTCAAAAGTATTTCTAACACACTGAAAAGCTTAAACAACGGGCTTTTTATGTATTATTTTCTACTTCTGACTAGCAGTTCGTGAAGAAAGAAAGGGACTGCAGAGCAATTATTTTTCTGTGTGAAGTGACCAAACATCAAACTTCATTCTAACTCACAGTTCTCCGTTTGTCTATTCAAACATACAGTCACTGAGCACTAAATTAGCGTTTTTCCATCACTGGAGCTCATCAGTACTTCCTATCGAAAACTCTTTCTGGGAATCGAACTTTGGACATCCATCCCCCACATATGGACATAGAACAGTTGGCTTGATTTTCAAGTCACAGAATGGTTCCTGTAGATCTGCACTGCACCTTATCAATTTCCAATCAATAACTCAAACCGGCCTTAAAGAATTTCTGGGAGGCTTCTCTGAATTATTTCATTAGGTTTACTAAAATTACGCGGAAATCGCGGCTAAACTGTTTGATCTGCGGTGTCAGTTAGTCAGAGTAACTATTTCAAAGAACAACCACACAACACCAAACTGACTGCTGTAATACTTGCTTGCATCGTGTACCTTCTACAAATCATTAGAGACGTTGAGTTAGTGCTAAATATTTTTAAAATAAATGGTTGTGAAGATTTTAAGTGAGTGTCATCTTGATCAACAACTCAGGTTCAATTGAACGATACTGAGAAAAGACCATAATCATCCACATACTGCTGCTACAAGTTGTAACCATTCTATACGCTTTGAAGCACCGATCAATCACTTTAATATAACAATCACGTGAACTGTTGATATGCGCAATTATAAATTCCAGTTTCAATTCGGATTTTGATCATGGGTAAACTAAAATGCCGAAGTTTATTGCATCCAACAGGATGTTTACACACTGGGTTTAGATGTCCGTACAATCACAATAATGAATAATCACGTTCCCCCATGAGTATCAGACAGTTGAATGTTTTCATGCCTCGTTCAGCCCCAACTTAAACGCACCGATGGATGGGGTGCAAACAACTTGGGATGAACGAGAGTTCCAGGTAGTGGTCCCTCCGACACCGAATAAGCAATAGCGTAAATCCAACGGATTCTTTGTGAGCACCAATTTGATGAAGATTCACAAAATCATCTTGAAAAAGAGAGATTTAATTGATTCAAAATGTTGCGAATGTGTTGAAAAATATATGTAGACCAGATAACTGTGACATTGTGCATGAGCAGTTTCACAGTAATATACCTCCTTCAGTTAAGATAGGTAGTGTTTAACCAGGCGAAGAAGTCATGAAAAAGAAACGTGCATAGTTGGACCGACAGCATGGCCCAAAACTGTCTCATCAAAACAACCGTTTCTCATCCAATGTCTTCTTTTATTTCTAGTGATGTTGATTACATTGTTGTCGACAAGTTCTTGAAGTTCCGAAAAAAGGTGAAAACATGACAAGCGAGCACCGTATCTTTGTGTTCATTAGTTGGAGTGAAATTTCTTCCCTACCGAATGTTCCGGACAGTAGATTCCGGTTTGAACAGGATTTTAACACGTAGAAACATCGATAATTTTGGAGTAGTGGTGAAAATGCAAAGAAAGGTATTATTGCTTGCCACAATCACCGAATTTCTTTTTGAGACAACACCAGACTGAATTGTCCCCCGCGAGTAGGTAGCTGATAATTTATCGCCATTGAAAAGAACCGCAGTATTTAGGCGCAGAAGCGCAGTTCCACTTGGTTACATTCTTCAGTTCTGAGAAGTATTATATCAGATCGAAACCGAAATGCGATTTTGTTTTCAAACTGGTCGATCCGGTTGACTTGTCGGACCGACCAAGACAACGGGATCAGAAAACTAATCTTCACTAAAGTAGAAAATGTTCACTATTCGCATTATCAATAGCGAGAACTTCATTCCACATCACTTTTCAACGATAGCTATACGGTGAGAAAAAAGAATTAAAGGAGTTCAGTTTCGAAAATGACGGTATGCTACTCCTCATAATCCGTTTGTTTTCACTCGAGTAAAACGATATATCGTTCGTCCCTAAATCTGGAATTATCATCTGTTGCAGACAGTGGTTGAGACCTCAGTATTTCATTCGTTTCTATCAAACAGACATATGGTGATAAGGAATTTTAGCCAATATAGATGACAACATGGCCTTCTGTGTTCTAGCATTACTTAGCACATTTATCATTCAGATCGTACTGGCCATTTCAGGGAGATGAAACCGCTACGACAGCCCCCACATTTGCTTGTAACGCTGTCCAAATTGCATTCGAAATAACCGTGAATGCATTTACAAGGGAAACTCTGCCCGGGCGGTCAATGCGCACGCCGATCATTGTATGCAAGTTTTGGCTTTGGTGACTGAACGTGAGACAATCAAAACTATCAATCTGACCTGAGAACCTCAAACAATGGGGTGTAATTTACACAACAGAAAAGGCATCTAACTATTCACAAGTTCGCATCCATCCAAGGTATCCGATAATTTCTCCATTTATTTCAAAAAAACACAATCAACTTACAACAATTCACTCTGATAGGAACAGTTCGGCAAACACCCTTTCGTAAACGGGACAAATGCGTCGGCTGTGCCATTTGTAAATCCAACGGAGACGATGACAGTTGGCGTAGACATTTCATTAAGTGCAAAATTCATTTTCAGGGCTAACTAAGATCCTGCGAGATAATTTTCAACGGGTGAAGTATTTGGATGCATTCCCTATAACAAAAATGTGGTGGCGTGAATGGTACATTCTATTTCTGAATCAGCAAATAGTGAGCACAGGGGTCGCAAAATTATCATATTGCTTTTTAAAGGTAAAACACTACCCGAAAAGACAGAAAAGACAATCAGGTTCAGTGGAAACGAATGTGAATATGATGAAACCGAGGTTGATCCGGGTAAGCGATGAAGATAACTTAACCCAAACGTGCAAACGAGCAACCAATTGACGCTCGAAGTGGATCCCGAGGCCATTTAGAACGCTTATGAGATATGGTGAAACCGTAGTTTAAAGTAGTATTTAAAAGTGCATAGGGAGTGATTTGGGATGCACTCGACAGTATGTGCACCGACAACACAATCGCGTTACTTGAATTTATGCTACGCATTGAATTCTTATGTACTGTATTTGAGCTACAGTCGATCCCCTGTACCTTTGCAACCATGCGAAGACGAATTTTCCAATGTGTTCCCACATTTTAACAAACTCAAATCCACTGTGTACACATTAACGTAGACCATGACAATGAGATGTCACCCACTTAGTATATCACATTCCATGATACTTATTTACTGAGTTGTCGACCGATGTATGGGTTGGCCAATGACCAGTCAACATGCAATGTCGCATTGAGCCAACGACGTTTCACCTTGCGTGGCTCATACATAACACTGATCGCCGACTGCATAAAACTTGTATCAGGTGCACACAGCATTCCAAAACGGTGACATATGAAGAAACAATGTACAAGCTGCTATCGGTCAGAGAGAAGCAGAATGGGTGTTAGTGCAACGCAGAAATCTGCAGTAAAATCACTTGGTATTTCGAGAAAACTGTTCAGTGTCTCCGTGGTATAGATGACATAAGATTACCCTCACGATCATCATCGTACAGCGAACTAAAGCGAAACGAACTTCACTGATTGCTACCAAACTCATAATGCATTCAAAGTTAATGGTAACAAGGGAAGTGGCTAGGGCTTGGACTCATTTGAGGGTAGGTTGAGAAGGTGAATCTCTATGGTCAACACACATACAGACCGTGTCAAGCCTTCTGATCTGATAAAAATGGCAGCAACAACACCACTGTTGTTGACCCGCTGCCATATCATTTAATGTGTCCAACCGGCCGGTTAAAGAGCATGTAAGACATGAGACACCTACTCAACCTAATCGCTCTGTGCATTCCTTCATGCTTCGTCTCCACGTCATCTGTTGAGCTCCATGTGGCTTCCTTCAGCCTGGAGCGACTAAAGCGAATCAAGCGCAGTGCGGCAGACGACAGCTGGGAATGTGCAATACGTTTCTTAACCAGCGGAGCCTACTAATCTAGAAAGTTCATCCCAGATAAACTCCCAAACATACGCTGCGCTCTATTTTACTCTTTATTGAAAACCCCCCTTACCACGGCAAAGCCTCCACAGTATTCTTCACTATTACGAACAACAGACCAGGGTACGACATGGTCTTTCAAATGTTTGTGCCGTTAATACGTAATATAATGTTTTGACTTTGGTAAAAGATAAACAATCTAACATAAAAGCTGAAAGAGACATTCTCATGGTCGCGTGACAGGTCAAAAAGTTTTACTTGTATTGGTGTTGGTGTTGGTGAGTTCTCCGAGCTGGAAGTGTAGTTCGCAGACGTTTCGTAGCCAAGCTAGGCAACATCATCAGCGCGCCTTTGAAAAGGCACCAGTCCTCAGTGAGGCAGGGTTTATATAGTTCTGTTTGAGGGTTGCGATTGGCTGTTTGCATTCCTTTAATCCTATTAGTCAGTAGCAATCGTTTGCTGTGATCTTCTTGGCTCTTTCGTTGTCATGGTGATCATCCTTTTTCCCATTGGTCGACTGGTTTTGCTGGAGCAACTGCAAACCGGTTTTTTTAATTGGTTCCAAACTGGTTAGAACAGGTTTTGGACCGGTTCTAGCAGGGGCACCCTCGGGTTACCAGTGTTTCCTTAGATAGTTATAGATAGGTTCTAGTTCCATGTGCTTATTTATACTATCCGTTCTGGAGTGCCAGGCTTCGATGAATTCCCTTATTGACTTAGTAGATCCTCTTCCGATTATTCTTACATTGCCCAGTTCGAAGACATAACTCTCAGTACCCATGTGGATTGAGATTTGTGATTTTTCCTCGTGTCGTTTGACCGCCAGTGTATGTTCGTGGAGTCATGTCTTGAGCTTTCTGCTGGTTTGTCCCACGCAGTATTTGTCGCAGTCTCGGCACTTTAATTTGTATACGACGTTTGAGGAATCTTCCTTTGGTAGTTGATCCTTTGGCCTTGACAGAATAGCCGTCATTGTCGCTGTTGTTTTGTGTGCAACTAAAATTCCTGACGAATGTAACAATTTGTCTGCCATTTCCGAGATTCCTTGCATATATGGCAGTGTTGGTCGTTTAATCGTCGGTCGTTCTTCTGACTGTGTATTTGAGGCTTCTCCCAGGGCCTCAATTATTGTCCTCTCCTTAAGCATCATATAGAAGCAGCGTAGCACGGAATTCCTTGGGTATCCGTTACGTCAAAAGGTGGACTTCCTCTGCCTTTTGAAGTTGGAGATTGCTTCTGTGCGTTTTTGATCGTTTGAGAAGCGTTTGTATGCAGCTTCTCTTGTATGCCACAGGGTGGTTGCTTTGAAAGCTGAGTATCTGATTCGTGTGGGTTGGTTTCGGTAGATGTCGGTTTCCAGTTGTCCATCTTTGGTTCGTTTAACCAATAGGTCCAGAAATGGTAGTTGTCCGTTTTGTTATTTCTCCACGGTGAATTTGATTCCAGCGAGCACATTTTTGATTAGGTGGTGCGTCTCCTCCAGTTGGCTAGATTTCAGGATGACAAAGGTGTCATCAACTAGCTTGATCCACAATTTCGGGTTGATGATATGAATGACAATGGTCTCCAATTTCCGTGTAACCGCTTCTGCTGTGAGTGCTGAACTTGGCGATCCCATCGGGGTGCCTCGTATTTGTTCGTATAGCTGTCTGTTGAATTAGAAAAACATGTAGAGACACAGATTCAAAAGCTCCAGGAGGTTTTGCTGTCCGATTCGGTTAGTTGTTGGATTGTTATTGTCGATGTTGTACTTGTTGTACATGTGTGTTCAAGAGCACGTTATGATTATTGTTTCATGAAAGATGTGCTGAAACCTATATTTAATCAGCGGATAATGCATTCACTAAAGGATGATTGCAATCTCGTTGAATATTTTACTCGTTGTGTCCATTGATGAGTGTTATTTTGAAGCGGAAATTGCCGGTCTAGTATTTGATGACGAAGAAAAGGATTGTTTGAAAGTGCGGTATCGGAAAGATGTTAGCTGTTAGGAAAACTCTTCCCGAACCAATCCAGCATTTGTGTTCACCAAAGCAACGGCCACGTTTATAACCGCACGAATACTTTCGCTGATGAGAGCGAAATTCAATTGGCTTACTCTGTCATACTAAGGCAACTGTGCACTGGAGTGATCACCAATCTCGATTTGCCCAAGCGGTAAGTCGGACCGCGGATTAGGACGGTAGATTCATCGATCGGTAACTGCCGACGCACTGAAGCTCCTATGTGAATGGATGAACGATAATCCCAGTTGTCCTAGCCAGAGCCCTGATAAAGTTGGACAGGTCACCTGCCAACGTTTATTGTAACAATTACGGGCAGGATCTAACCTGCCCCTTACGGTGGTTGAGTAAGGATGCACTTCTAGCTCGGGAATCACGAGTGGAACTCAGTCATTCACTAGGTCATGACTGATAATGGCGGCACTGATGTCGAGCAATGCTGATCATAACAAATGCATCGATTGCCTTCACTATGCAACGGCATCAATAAACGAATGAACTAATGGTTGTCTGCAAATAACATGATACACATTTTTCATAAAAAAGGTATGAATAGGTTGTAATGAGGAAAATAAATCAGCGCAGTACGTACCCCACGTAACAGATATTTCTTTCCATTTCGATTACCCGATTTTTATTTCATGCGGTTTGCCAATGACTTAAACCTTAAATCGCATTTATACATACGAATCGTCAACTGCGCCCCATTTTTTTGATATCATTATAGCTAAAACCGTTCGTTGTAGATAATGATGAGCGTCACTAAGCTCTGTGGTAGTCCTCACACTGCAATTATATATGTCAATATTTCGAAATGAAATGCGGTAAGTGGGCTAAAAAATAGTCCCAAATGAAGTTAATTAATCCTGGGAGAAATGGGCACTTGAAACTGAAAAAGGATTGGATGCCAACTGTTTTATTGTAATGGAAGGGTGAGGTTGTCTTACAATATTAAAATTGCTTCAAAGACTAAGTGAGACTGTAGATGTAATTTCAGTTCTATCTAAAGTGCAGGTAATAATAAAATCAGTGGCAGTTTAACCTATTTTCTATCAATTCTGTTTGTCTTTCCAACAATATCCCAGTCAAGGTTTCATAATAATTCAAAACAAATACTAAATACTTACATGCAGTGTTGCAGTTTCTGGGATTTACCCACTTTCTATAATTCCCAAGGAGTTTATCATAGCAGGAGATTGACTGTATCGATTGCGACGATAAAAGGGTTTGGCAAGTGTAAACCCTTACAAAATGATTATCTTAACAATAATGTTTTCGCTGTATGTTGCAAACTGAGGTTCTCCAAAAATGCTGGTTATTTTCTAGAGTGTAAACGTCAGGGCTTGAGTTTCCAATTTTAAAGAGAGAGATTCAACTTGCAAGTTCCACCGAGAATAGACTTATGTTTGAATACTGTAAAAGCAATCAAGGGGCATAAATGAGGTTTTATTTATTTGGATTGATGAATGCAAGCGTTTCTCGTTACTGCGAGGCTTTTTTTAAATCCGTGGAAGGTGTTTGAGGGCTAAATAGAATAGTACATATCACGTGATTGGTTGTGAAATGGATCGATTCAAATTCAATAATTAAATAGGATTGACGATAAATCGCACTGATTTGAAAGTTGATGGAATCAGTTGTTTATCTGACCAAATACCACACTGTTCTCTATTGACAGTTTGAGGAAAAAGCAAAGACTCTACACAGTCGTCTGGAAAGCACCGAAGAAGAACTGTTACACGCCAGACAGCAAGCTGGCAATCATTCAAGGCAATACTTGGTCGTGACAGAGACATCTACGGACGAAGAAGCTCAAGAAGACGGTAGTGGAACTGATGCCAATTTGGATCGATCTGTGGGTAGTCCGAGCGCAGAACACATGACCAAAGAGGCACTGACCACCGACCCGGATGACGATGGGTCTAGTCCAGTGAACGGATCGACGGACCAGGATGATAAGACGGTGAAAGTTTCAAGGGCAAAAACTTCCAAACTCTCACGATATCGTATCAGCGGTGAAAATACAGTATTAGAGGACCGTATGAGAGAACTCATGGATGAGGTAGAAGAATTGCAACATGAACTTTCCCGGGCTCGTGATCGGGAATCGATGAATGAAGAACACATTGCACGACTCTCTTCGACGGTGAGTTGAAGTTGAAGTTAACGGTTTTGTCTGTTTGCTTTATCGTCGGGTGATCTCCAGTTGCGCAACGTTTGTCAAAAGAAAAGCAGAGGACTATGGTGTAACGGACAACAGAAAACAAATTACCTCCATAAGAACCAAGTCTCATTCTGAGCATCTTTGTACTGTTTTCCCATTCCCGGCGATTGAATGAGGAACATTGGGAGATTGAATAACCTCGAGGTGTACAAATTATTTTCACATACTCTCATTTCCGCTCACGACAGCTTGAACTTCTAACGGCGAAAGTATTTTGGTGCCATATTAGACTCATGTGCAAATTTAAAATTAGACCTGGCGGAAACGACTTCATCCCGATTGATGTGAGACGAAGTTTTTACTGCTCCTCGTCTCCTGTCCCATTAGCTTAACTTACACCTGGTGATTGAATATAACGAACTTTATTATTTAGAACTAAGCAACATCATTCAGGTACACATAAGATAAGGATTTGGATTATTTGAAGTTTTCAACAATCAGGGATGATAAAACACTTCAATTCATCAGCATCACTGAAGACTTTCCGTTCACTCACACTCAACTTGCCAGTCGACACCAAACTTTTTCTGTAAAGTTCGACACAGGATGGTGAGCAGGTACATCAGTGACGTCCCTGGATTCGATATAGCACGCAGCTTTTACTGGCGGTAGTGGTATGGATGAAATCATTGCATTTCTGGGTAGACAAGAATACTCATAGATCTGTTGGGATTGTAGCACGAAGAAATCATTCAAAGTTATAATGCACGAGTCGTCTGCTTGCTTTTCTTTTGATAACCTTCGGTCGATTTTTGTTATTTAGAAAGGCAGTACAGCAAACCATCGCAGGGCTGCTCAATTCTATCTTGATTTTTTGCACGTAATGTCACAGGGGAATCAGTCTGTGAGGACCGCCAAATGTAAACTTTTCCATCAATAAATATCAAGTTATTCCATTCTGTGAATGGTGATATGTCAACCGATCCACTTGATCTGTAAACCGAATAAGAGTGATCCTGAGTAATCCTCTCACGTTCGCTCTCATTGATGTATTTATGTTTGTAGTGCACGGTGTACGAGGTGCATACTGAAATTTAATTGTGTATAACTTCGCAATTTTAGAATAGTTAACATTTGGTTGCTTTGAGCAAGTAGAAGTTGCCTCTTCGCGTTTTCAGATATCCTTCTTCTCATTTCGAGTTTCTTCTTGCAAGTATACCTGGTTGGATCCTTTTTCGCTGACAAATTGATCAATAAGCTGTTCAAACAATCATGCTGCATCGCTTTAAGCAAGTATCTGGCCCTGACCCAGCCCATATATTTATCGATCGTGCGGTATTACTCTTGGTTAGTTGATGAAAGATCCCATCCGCAGTCTAATGAGAAGGAATGCGTGAGCTTCTCTNTCTCCTTTGAAGCTCATGCAGTAGATTGAAGACGAGCAACTCTCAGAGAATCATTGCAATGATTCTGTATCAGGTGTTGTGGCTAATCCACAACACCGTCGAGTTGGCCGAGGTTAGATGCACCTAACAATCAACAACACCTCATACAGATTCAGTGCAATGATTCATCGAGAGCTGCTCATCTCAAATCCACTCCATGAGCTGCAAAGGATATTTGCATTGCATAACTCATCATTCAAGTGTAAGAATGACCAGACCGAAGATTACCAGGTTCGCATAACTGACGAGCGACAAGGACCGCGAAACAGGTCGCGTTCTTCTGGGAAGTTTTGTTCCGTCATTCACATACTACTCACTATAAAACATTCATTCAGAAATTTATCATGATACAAACTTCCTCCATGAGATTTACAGACATTGAAAGTGTGATTTCTACCGAACTGTTGAACCATGTTGTACATTTTTGTATCGGCGCTTGGTAGGTGCACGTTATTCAGGCATATTATTTTAGGATAAAAGCGACTTTCCTTGATCAACGTTTCAATATGAATGCAGGCCGATGTGGTAATAGGATACAAAATACGCGATCCGATTTTCACGTACCCAAGTGATGAAAAGATGAAGGTTTGCTAAAACTGTTTCTAGCTCGATGGTTATCCAATAAATCCATCATAGCCGAATTCATTTTTATGACGGTAAGGTTGAAAGACAAATGGTTAAATACGACTGCTTTCTCGAGCAACATACATTCTCGGGGAGTAAGGTTGAGAGAGCACTCATAGTTATTCTACGGTAATCGTATTTGATATAAATCATACACATAAGCACCTTATAGCGTTACAAAGGGGATAACGATGAAAAATCGACTAACCAGCTCATTAATCAGTTCAATCACTCACTAATTCACTCATTCACTCACTCACTCACTCATTCACTCACTCACTCCCCCACTCACTCAGTTCAGCCACTGTTTACCCAGCAAGTCCATAGCCTGCGGTTCATTACAAGCATACGTATATGCGTGTACAGAAGTAGCTATGTAGGTTAAATGGGAATCGATAAAGGTAACTTAATGACAGATATTAAAACCTCAAGGGAACGGAGAGGGTTGATGGATGTTTCACGGACACTAGAAAATGGGTCAAACAGATAAAGTGCCCTCCGTTAGAGTCTTGATGGACAAAACAAACTCCATCAAATTAAGTTGCTTAAAATACCCACCCACTTGGAACTTTGATCTTAATCAGAAAGACAAAAAACACGGACAGAGTGTCAACAGGATGCATGTGGATTCTCATGCTCGTCAAGCAGAAAGAGCGCGATGATCGACCAGCGTTATCTATGTTTTTATGAACTGGTGGAAAAATGCGATTGTGGGTTTATATTATTTGGAACTTATAGAAACTAGCTTACTAGCCGATAAAATGAACAAATGGCACTCAAACAGCAGGATTTGCTGTTTTGTCTGACTGTTGGTTAACTGACAGGAAACTGCTATTCTATGTAAACAATGAACTTGGATGTACACGATCAACTGTACATATTTTAAGAGATATGCAACTTTTACTCTTACCAATCAATCTAAATTTATGCATTCAAGGGACATTGGAAAACCAATAATATAGAGGCAGAAGTGTAAGTAATACGATCTCCATAATTATCAATTATTCAAGGAGGGTAGTTACCACTCTACTCCATTGGTTCTCTAGAATACTGGGCGAATTATGTTTCTCGTCCAAAACAAACAGTCATAGTGCGTACATCCGTTTGGCTTTCATCAATACAACGTGGCTGTATCGCATACATTCAAATCGTACATCTTCTTTGGTCGTTCAAAGTCAAGCGATAAAACCCACTATCTTCAAACGCCACACACACGAATCTTCTGCTCCTATTATTCAATCAATTCGTTGTCTTCTGGGAATGTCGCATTGGCTCACTGTTTTGTGGTAAGCCATCCAAGTCATCGGCATATTGATAAAAGGACCTTTCCAGTAAATGTGGTATGAGATTGTTTCAAGGGGAGTATTTTTTATGGAAAGAGTCATTTGTGTATAGTCACAGGCCATGATGCTTTTGAAAAAAGAAACGTCACGTGACTGTGCGGCATTCGTTCACAGTTATTGCAAGCACATGAACATCATCAAGAGTGATAATCGTAATCAAAACAGTCGGGTAATCGAGACTCGAACTAGGATAAGGGCTAAATTCTCATCATGATCAGGTGTAAACTTCGGTTAGCCTACGAGAGATGACCCGAAAAGACAAAAGTCGCCAGGTCCTGTTCCACCAGTATTCAATGACCAAACTGAACTCCAGTTCTAATCGACAAACAAACACAAGACTGTAGGAGAACTTAACTGAACCCTGTTGTTTGGTATTCTGATTCTGAATTACCACTTATTGCATTTTGATTGCACATATTTGAAATTTCATTTCAATTTCGAAATTTGTCGATTATCGCTTTTGGAACACAACTTCAAGCCAACTATTGTTTTCAGTAACTCATAATCATACCATTGCAGTTTATATGAGAGAATAAAATATAATTCAACGAAGAAAACAGCAGAGGTTATCCTTCTTGAGGTAGGCGTTGGACGAAGAGATACCGCAATGCAGTTACCTCATGCAACCTGAGAGGTACGTTTGAAAATAATTAGAATACATCTACGTCAAACATAAATGGAGGTTCTATCGTTATGCCTATTGCTTTGTTTTCCAAAGAGAAATAATAATGAGTTCGTAGGTTTGGAGTTACGAGTCGGAAACCTGTTTAGTCAGACACAAGATCTGGTGCCTAGTTTGACCAAAGAGATGTAGGTCTTCAAATCAACTCTCACCAACGGTTGCTATTGATACCACGGAGCTCAAACCCACATGGCTGGCTCCCTTACCAAAAAGTACCTTTAACCCCCGCGTTAACTGACCAGCAAAAAGGAGATAATAATCAGTCGTCAAGATAAAGTAACCGGGATTGTGGTCATGGATAAGCCGAGAAACGCTTATAACCTACTAGATATCGTCCCCGTGGAGGATACATTCACAACCACACTAACAGAAAAGCACAAAACACACCAGACTGAACAAAACATCACGGGGATACCGAAACAGCTCAATCAAGAGGATAACATAAGCAATGAGTCATATGGACTCATAGAACTTGCAGGTTTATTGCTTTCTGAGACTATATGGTTTTCCCCGCAAATCTGTCAAGCTCAGATTTTATGCTATCGATAACGAATTCTCCATAGCATGCTGTCACTTACTGGTAAGTTAAAATCCTTAAATCAGAAAGAAAACGGTTATCGACAAAATGTATCAATAATACATTTCAGTCTATAGAGATAATAGGGGATAAGGTGATTTCCCAGGATATAACATCACTTTCTTAAATGTGTCATTAGTTGAAACCATTCAGAGTGAGTTAATTAATTAATTAATTAATTAATTTGGGGATACCAACAGAAGCACTAGACAAAATCTCATTTTGGTGTACATGTAACGTTCGGTTTCTCCTCAAATGAATGATCTATCGATAAAATGACGGAGTTGCAGTGGGATCACTACTAGTGTTGTGAGATACTACTCACGTGTGAGTAGTCGGTAACTTTCGGTGATTAAAAATAGAACAAGACCATCAAGGACCAAGTAATATATTTGGGAAGAATAAACACTACCTGCTGTACCCATTGCCCCATGTGCTGCGATGTGCTGCGAAGGCATGTTTCTGATGAGCTTTTCGTGTTATTCATGCAAAATTAGTAACCTTCAATCTGTATTCTGCAACAAAGAACTCTGCTCAACCAGCACCACCTTTTCGGAATATAACACTGGGACCACTTTTGGCAGATGTTTTCACTGTCGTGCTTGAGAACAACCAATTAAAGGGCAGCGTTATTCTTCTTCATAAATGTTGCCGTTTTTTAGACATCATATTTTGCATAAATGATTTGAACTGCGAACTGGATTAACTGCTAGAAAAGTTCAACTCCGTATTCAAGGCAATAGAATTTACAAAAGAGTTAGAAGCAGAGAACTGAACA